CTCTCTCTCTCTCTCTCTCACACACACACACACACACACACACACTCACATACACAGACACACTTTTTCTTTCTACGGTTTCTCGTTTAAATTTTTTCTCCTTCTCCTCCTCCTCCTCCTTTCTCCCTATTACTTTTCCCCCTTTTCAGCTTTCCCCTTTTCATTCCCTTTCCTACTCCTTTTACACCTACCCTTTTCTTCCCCTCCTTCATGTGTTCACAAAGTTAAATGGGAACATGAAGCAAAGCAGCTCCACCTCCAGCAGACCAATATTTCTGGGAGGTTGACCAAGAAGTTACTAAGATAGGCTTATGTCGAGTTCCAGTGCAGGTAACATCAGAGAAGCTCACGTCTTCTCCAGTGCTTAAATTGCCGGTTAATGGAAACATCGTACTTCTCTTCCACACCCCATTCCTGTTCACCCCACACCACCCATGACCGCCCCCCATCCCCCCCCATCCCCCCCCCTCCCCCCCTCTCACCTTTAGTAGGATACGCCTCCAAAGCGTCATCAATACTCCAGGCGCCCAGCTCATCCAGAGAGCCCAGCAGATAGAGCCGGTGAGTGACTCGGTTGTAAGACGGGCACCACACTTTGAACTGGATCCCCACACTCGTCTGTGGGCCCTCGATCTTCATGCTGATTCTTCCTTTTTTCTCTTCCTTAAAAATAATATTTTAAAAAATATATAGATCTTGGACACTGTGGAGAATACCGTGAATATAAGCACACTAGAAGAGGAGTGAGGCAAGGGTGTGTTATGTCACCAGACCTCTTTAACATGTACAGTGAACCAGGTCTATACAAAGTCTCAACCCTTTTTTATTCCCTGCTACTTACAATGTCAACCCGTGAACCCTTCTATATGGCTGTGAATGCTGGACAATCACTAAAGACAGTGAAAATAAAATAAAATAAAAGCAACAGAAAAGTGTTTTTTAGGAGACTGCTAAGAGTATCGTGGAAGGAAAAGAAATCAAATGAGGGAGTGCTTGATGAAGCCCACGTGGGACACTCAAAGTTAAAAACAATCAGGAAACGACAAATGCAATTTTTGGGACACATAGATAGACATACGGGTCTTGAACATCTAGCTCTCACTGGCAGAATTGAGGGCAAGCGAGGCAGGGGAAGGCCCAGAACAACATATTCTACTTAGGAAACCTGAACAAGTGCGTGACAGGGAAAGATCAGGGAAAAGTAGCTTTTTTAAGAGCATCCGAGCAAAGGAATGAACGGAGAACCATGATCGCCGATGTCTGTCGCAGATCTGGCACTGGATGATAATGACTTACAATGAGTATGACGATCGTGCTGATGATTAGTTGGTCGAGTAAGCTCAGAATGGTAGGCTCAAATTGACCTTCACCCAGCAAACTTACTCAGCACAAGAAGAGGCCAGTGATGGGAGACTTGGGTCAGACAGACCGGAAGTGCCCCATACGTCTGTGTGTTGTGTGCTGTCGTGAGCTGTCGTGAGCTGTCGTGTACTTTCGCCTCGGTGCTGTGTGGGGCTACAGTGCTGAACGGGGAATTCCGATATTACCTTCATCTCCATCATAAAGTGCTTGCCAAATCTGAAACATACATCGGCGATCGTGGTTCTCCATTCATTCCTCCGCTCGGAGGCTGTCATTTTTTTAAAATCCTGGTGTCTCTCCGTCACCTATCTGTTCAGATTTTCTAAATAAGTTGCTCCGGGTCTAGATCTACCCCTACCTTCGTCTGCCTTCCCTAAGTAAGGATGGGTTGGTAGGATATTATGTAACTATAACGAATTTCATGCACCCTAGTTGAAAATAGTAGCGATTGGAATCTGTCTCGTTTGGGGGGGGGGGGGGCTATCCATTTGTTGTTTTTTCGTTGGCTCTTTGTTTGCCTTAGTGGAGGTTTTACGGCGCTCACAACTGCATACGGTCATATTATGAGTGCCAAGGGGTAGATGTCAACAGAGAAGCCCTTATAGGGAATCAGACTTACTCAGACAGAATAGCTGTGCTCGGTGTTCGTCTCTCTCTCTCTACCCCCCCTCTCTCTCTCTCTCCCTCCCTCTCTCTCTCTCCCTCCCTCTCTCTCTCTCCCTCCCTCCCTCCCCCTCTTTCTCTCCCCATCTCTCTCTCTCACACACAACCAAACCAACAACACACCACCACCATCTCTCCCACACAAAACAACACTGGAGCAAAAAACCATCCACAGTTTCGACAATATTTATTGATGAGCACATAGGGCAATGTTAGTCAGAAAATAAAACAGAAATCTTACCTCCAGCTGTCTACACCGAGTGAATGGAAAAATGCTCGCTACAGATTACATGAAATATATATATATATATAGAAAGAACAAAAACAAAAAACAAAAACCAAAACAACCCCCAACAACAACAAAAGAGCTATTGCCGAGGAAAAAGCAAAGACGAAGCATTACAAAATGTGTAATAATGAATCATTAGCACGTGTGTGTGTAATCAGACGTCAGTCAGTGTGATGGAGATGAATGATGTGGGGGGGGGGTGATCGCTTCTTGCTAGCAGTCAGCAGATCTCAGTTCTGAGAATCTTTCCTAGTTCTTTCTTTCTCTCTGTCTCTCTCTCTTTTATTTATTTCTCCCTCTCTCTTCTTTCTTTCTTTCTTTCTCTCTTTCTTTCTTTCTTTCTCCCTCTCGATCTCTTTAAAAAAATTGATTTTTGCCTCTCTTCTTTGTTTGTTTTTCTTTCTCCTACTTTTTCTCTCTTTCTTTCTATCTGTCTGTCTCTCTTTGTTTCTTTCTCACCCATGTACGCACACAAGCACATACACACACACACACACACACACATATTCATGGTGTGGGGAGATACACATTCGTCAGACATTTTCCTACATGCGGTCTGTGTTATGAGCTTAAGACAAGAACATCCACTATATACCAACAATTTAGAGCAGGGGAACAGTAAGACAGACAGACAGACAGACAGACAGACAGACAGTCAGACTGGCAGAAACGTGAACAAATAATAGAGGGATGAACAGAAGTAGATCTCTAAACAGACGACACACATCGACACACACACAATAACTTGCGTTTAGTACGGCTAAAAAGCGTCTGACACCGACAGACAGAAAACACATTCGGGCCAACCAGTGGCTCCCTTATGAAAACTACCCGCAGCAAGTTAAGCAAGTAGTACATATAGATCTAGCAAGTGTACGACCAACATAATTTTAGGAAACGCACAAGTTTGCTGCACAAACACACGATACCAAAGCTAGACTCACTATGGACACCCACTCTCTTTTTTTTTTTCCGTAAGAGTTTTACGGCACTTCCAACACAATAAGGTTATATAAGTGCCGATGATTAGAGGTGTTACAAGGGAGTAACAAATACAAAAAAGAGGAGAGATAGTTTAGTTTAAGTAGAGGTTCTACGGTTCTAGCAACTGCATGAGGTCATATGAGCGCCAGAAGATTAGGGATAAAGGCAACAAATGTTTGATAGGAAAGAAGAAGCAAACCGCACCAGAGCACCCGCCAACCACCCAACAACCTATACACACAAGATGAGAGTGTGCAGCAAACTTGTGACCAATCAACTAGCGGTAGTAGCGACAGGAAAAGGAAGGCAGGAAAAGAAGGAAAGCTAACCCAGCTGAAGACAAAGAGACACCACGGCCGAGGGAAAACAATCTCAATGACCACAAAGCAGAGACAGTCACATAAACGGCGACCTCAGACAAACGTTATAACAACAACACGATCATAATTAAAGCATAATAATTATTATATCAAACTTTCTACATTGCGGAGAGAATGAACGAACGAAAAGAACAAACAAACAAAATCATAATAAGAACGTTATCGTTAAGTGAGAGAGAATCTTTTTTTCACAATCAGATAGTCCATGGTGTGTGCAGACACATATTATCATATATATATATACATGTGGGAAACCTCTGATGAGAAATGGGAACTGTTATGACGCCCAACAAACATTTATTTCACAGACACAAAAAAAACAACCCAAGAGAAGTAAAAAAGGCGGAATGCATACAAAAAAAGCCTGCGTTTGATCCACAACTAAATAAAATGGTCGCTTTTCAGCGCAAGGGGGCTATCCCGAAAAATACTGTTTTGAGAAAATCGAAGTTAACGGTTTTAGGATCCTTGTTCAGTTTCTTTAAAAGTAAAAGACAAGGAGAATTTTCTCTATAACCAAACAAATATACACACTAATAAAACCAAACTTCTCCTCTATAGATAGGTAGGGCAGTGCCCACTTTTGGTGTAGGTCAAGATTTCTGGAAACCCCCGAAATCTGGGTTAGCCCGCTTGTTCTTAAAAGCGACCATTTATTGACAACTACGAGTGAAGACTGCGTTCTACACCAGCATAATGACATATCAAACAATCTACAGAAACTGTACACGTGTAAATCTAGTCAGAAAACAAACACTGTACACAAGAAAAGATAGCAAATTCCAACGAATAATTAAAAGTAGAATCATTTCTAATGTTGGTATTGATCCAGGCATAATTTCAATACGACATTTGACCTCCAAACGTATACCATATCTTCCGGAACTGAAACTGTATATGAACTTCTGAACAATTTTGACAATAACAATCTTTATTCATCTCGCAAGGAGAAATTTTTCATTGAGAGGTCATTTCAGAAGTAGTTGTTCAGCTGACCAGTCCTTGTTTTCAAGTAAATGACACACATATTATGGTGTTCTTCACTAGCAAAGACAAGATGGGGGGGGGGGGGATTTTACCCATTTTATCATTAGTCAGACTCACATGAAAAAATCGGTTTGTTCTGTTTTAGTAGAGGTTTTACGGCGCTCGCAAACATGCACAAAGATACCCAAAAAATGACTGACTACAGATTCAAACAACCATGCTGAAAAAGACTTTGATCTTCACTTCCATCATGTCCCAAGTGCCACAAACATTTTGTGTTCTCTTCACTTCTATGGTGGGTCTCAACAGCATGATCATCATACACAGGGAAAAAGTATGTTTGTTTTACAAAGAGTTTTACGGCACTTGCAACACAATAAGGGACAAAGTATGGCCGCCATAAGAAGATCCACTTGGTCGCGATCTATTCCGGGACAGATTCGGTTCAGTTCTGTCATTTGTCAATAGTCTCCGTTCTGTCATGTGTCAACAGATTCCGTTCTGTCATGTGTCAATAGTCAGAGGGAGGACACAGGAATGACAGACTCCACATACAAAAAAGGCCATTCAGAGAACTCCAGTTTGACGGATGGCTGACCAATGATGACAGCGATGACATCAACAAATAGAGATGGATGTTACGTCGTGACCGTGATTCTGGATGGAGCACTGGACAAACCAATGTGCCAGAATCTGGACAATAAAGATGTATCTTATCTTATCTTATCTGATCTAAAAACACAAAGAGCAATTAATTCTTTCAACGACAAGTGTAATGCGATGACATCAGCAAATATAGAGGATGTTATGTTGTGAACGTGATTCTGGATGGAGGATTTGATCTAAAAACACAATGGGTACCGTAATGTAATTCTTTCACCGACAGGTGTCTTGCAATGACATCAGCAAATATAGATGATGTTAAGTCATGAACGTACGTGATGCTGGATTGGAGGATTTGATCTAAAAACACAATGGGTACGGTAATGTAATTCTTCCATGGACAGATGTAATGCGACGACGCCAGCAAATATAGAGGATGTTAAGTCATGAATGTATAGATGTTAGATAAAGAGTTAAGTCCTGAATGTGAAGCTGGATGGAGGATTTGATCTCACACATAATGAGTACCGTAATGCAATTCTTTCCCCGACAGGTGTAATGGAGAAACACACCCAAACACTGTACAGTAAGTCAAGTCAACAATTTTTTCTTTTTGTTGGTCGATGTTCAGAAAACGTGACATAGCTCATAGTCATAGCTCTGCCCGCAAGGAAGTATTCTGTGTTTTCATACCAATGTGAACAATTGAAAGAATGAAAGATGTCTTTTCTCCGGATACTGAAAAAGGAAAAAAATATGTGTATAGCGATATATAAAAAATGTATTTTAAGACTGGTAAAAACTTTGTACAGGATGTATAGCAAAACGTTGATCTGTACAGTACAAGTGAGCTCGTATGACAGTACAGTACAACTTAAGTGAGCTGACGTATGACACCAAAGCCACAGCGTTCCTCTGCGCACGAGGTAAAATAAGCACAAAGCTGAACAACCAACCCAAGAGTAGTAGGTACGGTAAAAAAGATTCTCCACGCCGTGGATTCACACCATGATGATCCAACCCCAGTCACAACTTTCTCCATCCAGTCAGCTTCATCACCACACAGCACGAAGCAAACGCAACGTCACACACACACACAATGTGGGGATTCTATAGTTTTAGTAGAGGTTTTACGGCGCTCGCAACTGCATAACAAACATAAAAAAGAAGGAGGGGGGATAAGATAAGGACGACAGATGTTTGATAGGAAAGAAGAAGCAAACCACACCAGAACACCCACCAACCACCCACATTCTGAGTCGTGAACTAACTATACTACCCAGCTGTAAAGCCATCACATATCATATACCCACTGTAAACCTATTATAGAATCCATTTCTTTAATTACACGATTCTCCATTTCCCCTCTCTTCACAAATGGATTACCGCACACAAATACTGTTTCTTATTTCCCTGAACTCACACAACCTTTTATTGCACATGTTGTTGTTGTTGTTATCGATCCAGCAACAGCTGGGCTCTCGCCCTTCTGTCTAATGCCAAGTAGTGATAAATGCAAGTTTGCTGCAGTTGCTGTAATGTTCCATAGAGTGTGTTGTCAATGTTAGGTCTCGGAGGGAGAAGGGTAGCTTTGATGTCATTTAGGGCTGTGCAGTGGAACAGGTGATGCTCCACAGTCTCATATGCATAGTCACACAAGGGACACATTGGGGGAAGTTCCGGGTTTATTCTGTTCAGGTGGAAGTTGAGCTGTATATGTTCTGTTCGTTTATTGCACACATAGCATGAATCACTTTTGAAAGTTTTTCTGTTTCGTTTAACCATTGACAAATACAGCGAGGACGGGCGTTCACAAACTCTCCAAACACATTCTCATGTCAATCTCACATTGAAAACTTTTTCTCCACAGGATGTCCGAAGCTAGCGAGCCGCCAGTCAATTCTACTACTACTGTGAGAACCCACGAAGCTAGCGAGCCGCCAGTCACAGCTACTACTGTGAGCACCCACATACACATGTACACTCTAAGGTGAGCGCAGAAACATTCTGAGACTTTCAGTGCCGCAACAAAACTTGTCATAAGACTATGATCTTGCCGGTGCCAATTAAAAAAAAAACCACTTTTGAGCCAATTTGTAGCATGCTTTTGTGTAGATGGTAAAACGGTGTAAGACATGATGACGTCAGAGTCTGGCCTGAACTGTGTATCAGAAAAACTTGGTCCAACACTTTTTTTGTCTCAAAAATCGATATAATTCAAGACCATGATTACAATTGGTGATACGACAATCTGTAAAAAGAACTCTCTACCTAAAAATTTGAGCAATTCCGGTAGATAAGAAACAAAATAGTTGTTTTTTTATCCCTCCCTTTTTCTGAAATTTAATGTTTATGCAAACATACACAATTAGAGTGGAAAATTGATGATAAGTGTCTGAATAGAGCACTCGCTGCTGTCACAGGGGGAGCTTTTAGCCAACCACACAACGTTCCCACACAGGCACACTCACAGGTGACACTCGGTGACGTCTCCGACTCCCACAACGGAAATGTCACAGGTGACACTTGGTGAAGTCTCCGACTCCCACAACGGAGATGTCACAGGTGACACATGGTGAAGTCTCCGACTCCCACAACGGAAATGTCACAGGTGACATTTGACACCTGGTGAAGTATCCGACTCCCACAACGGAAATGTCACAGTTGACACCTGGTGAAGTCTCCGACCCCCACAACGGAAATGTCACAAGCGACACTCGGTGAAGTCTCCAACTCCCACAACGATAATGTAAGTCGCAACAAGTCCTTGAGCAGCAAGAACAAAAATGAGGATGAGGGTAATATCGTATCTGGCTTTTGCGTAGATCCAAGCGTGACAAAAAACTGACATCAACTGACCACGTGACAAAAACCGCCATCATCAACTGACGACGTGTGAGACAACCAATGAGAAGACAAAACGTGTCGGGTTAAGCAGCGAGTTGGTGCGATAGTGACTGGTGAGTATCCGGAACACAAAAGATTTACGATGATAATGGCAAGAGATGATGCGTCTTCATTGTTCATACAAAAAAACCCCCAAAACAACCCAGTTTGGACAGACCAGTTGTGAAGAGCGTCCATTTTTTCTTTAGAACCCCTCCCCCCCCTAACAACATAACATCTCCAAGACAATGAGAAATTGCAATCCTACAAATCCTTCACTTAAACTTGAAATTATACAGAATTCTTCTTAAAGAAAGTTACTCAAACCAGGAAACTTGAATGATAAACTTGCAGAGTTTCATTTATCAATAAAAGGCCTACAAAAAAGGGTGAGGAGTCTCATAGAAAACAGCAGAAATGACAGTTCCAGACTATCTCTCAGACCATCTCCACTACACGCCGTTCATTGTTCATCACAACACGAACCACGAACCACAGCCCAGACAGACACGCTTGCTCAATGTGGATATGGAGAGAGGCTGCTAAAATACTGCACAAACGAACCGGTGGATTCAAACTGAAGAAAAAGCTGGCACAACACATTAAAGTCAGTTTCTGTGAGCGGCTTCCAGTAATGATAAAAATAATAAATAGCGCAAATTCCCCATTCAATGGCAAGCTCTCTGCGCTTTACAATCTACATATATTACCCCAGCAGACCATAGAACACTCAGATGTATTCTCCGCTTCCCGGGAAGCATACAGTGCAAGCAGCCGATTAAGCGCTCAAACACTAGCAAACTGACAGGGACTATCGGCGGGAGGGACCCGCGCTGTGGTTTCCTGACCCCCTGACCCGCAGGAGGAGGGAGCATGACCTCAGAATCAGCGGTCTTAGTTTTAGTAAGAGTTTTACGGCACTTGCAACACAATAAGGTCGTACAAGTGCCGAAGATTAAAGGTGTTACAAGAGAGAGACAAACGTAGAAAAGAAGGACAGAGGAGGGATCAGGAGGATTGATGTTTGATAGGACAGAAGGAGCAAACCACACCAGAGCATCCGCAAACCACCCACAGTTCAGAGTTCAGCGCCTCAACGTAAAAACACAGCATTACTGGGTCTTTCATCCCGAAACTGACCGGAACATAAAAGGCTTAAAATAAATCAAAACTTAAAATAATTCCACAACCTACGCGGTATTCCGTCGATTCATTTCTCCCGGGTTTCGTGGAATAAATACTGGCTGCACGGTAAATAAGACAGTTCTCCTTTCATTTATGACATCAGCAAAATTCATATATGACTGACAGTGGACTTTAAAAAATTTCAAACATTTAGTTTGGGGAGTGGCATTTCTAGAACAACCCCGCAAGCGCCCCATGGATATTCATACAAATAAATGTATTAAAACAACCTTGTTTGGAAATAAAAATACTATATATATATATGAATGTACACATCAAAAGCACGCTTGAAAATTTTTAAAGAACTAAACTGGCCCGGCACTTTATAAAAATATATGCAGGTTAAGTAAAACAATTCCAATCATTAAGCATTCGAACACTAAATGAAAAAACCATTCAGACAAAAGCACTCAATAAATGAGCTTAGAGGTACATATATGTCATATGATGAAGACATTCACAAACCACATCAGACAACATAATGAGAAATTCATAGAGTGTAAAAAGCCAAAACATCTTTTTCTTCATAAAAATTTTTAAAAAACCCCAAAACAGGTAAAAGCTGACATTTATGTTCAGCGCATGGACACACAGTTGGGACAACAGGAACTAGGAAGAAAAGAATTTTGCCCCAAAAATTTTGACAGTAAAAAATCCCCTAAAAAGTGACATCAAGAAATCTGAACACGAAAGATGCACATTTTATAGTTATCAGCGCTTTCTTAGTTATGATCACCAAATAATGAGAATGTTTACACTAATTTTTCATGACAAAAAAATTACCGACAAATTAGACCATTAGAGATGCACGCTTGAGTTATTATTAGGCCATTTTAGTTTCCACCACCACGTAATGAGCATGCCCACGCCACCCACCAACAAATCTTTCCGTGACAAGTCTCTTACCAAAATAAATTGAGAACAATTTCATCATTTTACACCTTGGAGTGAAGCTCCACACAAACAAACATGAACAATATATCAAGGACAACATTTAGCAGATAGATAGACGAACAAGACACCCGGACACACCCAGAGATCTGAGCCTAACAATAGGTAAACAGTTTAAAACAGAGCCTGTACTCTCATTGTGAGCAAAGTCTTTCTTTATACACAACTGGTCAAAAAGGCAACAGCCTCCAAAATATGCAACTCTACAACTGCCGTCAAAAATCAAGTCCCAGTGCCAATATCTTTTTCAAGTGACCATAAAAAAAACATTTTTCCCTACCGTAAAGAAAAAAATAAAAATAAATTTGCACCGAAACTTCACTTTTTAGGGCGTTTTTTTTAAAAATGGCGACTTGGACCTCAACAAGAGAAGCCTTACTTTGACTGAGAGCAAGTTACACACGCATACACAAAGCTGACAATGTATTTATTTGTGTCACATCCAAAAATAGATTCTTCATCTGTTCAGAAAATAGTTGCCTTTGAGCTCAACCATCGACAAAAAAAAAAACAAAAAAAAAAAAAAAAAAAAAAGACAAAAAAAAACAAACAATGAAAAAATAGACAGCATCTTCTGGCAGGCAGACAAAATGACACGCGTAGATTATGTGTAAAAGTACAGGATGTGAACATCGGTAATACGGTACATGAAGTGCATTGGTTAGACGGTGATACGACCGATAGCGCAGCGACCATGGCACAAACCACTCAAGTCAGAGATTTCAGAATTGACAAACAACGCCGGCAAATGACGCAAAATCAATGTCCACTTCCTTCCTCAATAGTAATCTCCTTGTCCATCAGCTTAAACTAATAGTTTGTCAGTCAATATCAGACAAATTTTCTTGTTCCACAATCTATAATAATAGTCAGTCAGTCAATATCTGACAATGGCCAATGTAGCTGAAGAGAGGAGGTTCTGGTCCTACAGCATACAGAATTACTCGCTCGCACTTGTCAGTCATGGATCAGACCTGCTAACCTGAACTTTTCACCCCCCACCCTGCATCAATTTAAAAAGTTTGCTACGGAACTCATCTATACTACCCTCAACGCTGCACTCCCCCCCCCCCCCCCACACACACACAGCCTGCTCTTTATCTGCATTGAGCATTCTATAAATGGATGTATCATCATTATTACAGACGAAAAAAAACTATTTGTGTAAAACATCAATGTACCGTCTCAAAGTTAAATGGTCTCAGTTTAGTAGAGGTTTTACCGCGCTCGCAACTGCATAAGGTCATAATATGAGTTAAATGGTTTGTGCCCACAGCCATCGACCCAGCCCGCGGAGGTGGCTACTCTCATCCCACAAGTGTGTGCACAGCACACCACAAGCAGGCACACACACCACAAGCAAGCATTTCCAGGCGATCCACACCTCACTCCCGGCAGTACAAGCCCTTAGAACGACAGAATTCTAATTCCACCACGCATAGGTTTGAGAAAAGATCCACTCTCTTAGATCTATCTAAAATGCTTTTACACCTTATTTGTCTCAAGCCAAACTGAAAACATACTGCTCATTTTGTGTATCAAGCTTTTGACACAGTGTGAAGGGCATCTGTGTCTGTCAGTGATGTGTAGTGTGTAATCCCATTCTTGCAAAAAAACGGAGTAACAAATCCTGTCACTCTTAAGGGCCCAAGTATACACATGAGAAGCCTTTCCTCCACACAGAACACAGCCACTCCCACATACACCACTCTCCGAGAAGACTACAGATCTACTTCTCCACAAAACAATTTCTCTATCAAAAACTTGCTTGATTCCCATATATCCAACCACTTTCTTGTAGGATCGCTTCCGACAGGGGGATGGTCTGGGCTCGTTCGTGGTTTGCTTGTCGTTATTATTAAGTTTGTTGTTTCTGTTGTCGTTATTGTTGCCGCCTTGTCACTGCTGTTGTTACTGTTGTTGTTGTTGTTGTGGTTGTTACCCAACAATGTGTGGAATTTTTCACAACGATAAAGCAGTGGTCGTAGAACTGTGAGTCGGCGCACAGGACCTGCCAGCAAACTGTAAGCCCACCCCGCATAAGACAAAGCAAAGAATTGGCACAGAATATACTTCTCCTCCGTGGTATATAGTCCTCACTCCTTCTCCGTGGTGTATATTCTTACTCCTTCACTGTGGTATATATTCCTCACTCCTTCTCCATGGTATATATTCCTTACTCCTTCTCTGTGGTATACTCTTTAATCCTTCTCTGTGGGTATACTCCTTACTCCTTTTGTGTGCTATACTCGTAACTCCTTCTCCGTGGTATATATTCCTTACTCCTCCTCCATGGTACACTCCTTACTCCTTCTCCGTGGTATATATTCCTTACTCCTTCTCTCTGGTATACTCCTTACTCCTTCTCCGTGGTATACTCCTTACTCCTTCTCCGCGGTATACTCCTCTTCCTCTTCCAACTTGAGACACAGAGAGAGACACAGAGAGTAGACTTAGACTTAGTTGTTCCAGATTTGCTTGAGCACGGTCGTTGTCACTCGTTGATAGTTAGTTAGTCCTCTCTGTGACAGCAGTGTCTATAGGGCCGGGGTTCGAGTCTGTGGTGGGGCGGGGCCCTCAGTGGTAGTACTCGCGGTAGTCTCCCCTGGAGGGGTACGGCGACTTCTCCTGGTTGTGGGCCATGTCGTAGACGATGTCGTCGGGCTGCGGCACGTACAGCGAGTTGAGCAGGTGGATGTACACCGAGCAGATGATCAGGCACACCAGCTGAAACACAAGACAAAAGATTTCGAATTATATTACAGAAATCAGAAGAAAAAATTTTTGCACATATCCGAGTATATAATATGTTGAAGCCTGCCTTTCTAAAATTTCAGACAAAGAAAAACTAATCCAAAAATCGATATGAATAAAGAAGTTTTATTTCCTTTTTTTCCCTCAAAAATCTATATGTGAACCAGCGTGGTGGAATCAGGCTGTTGTCAAAATAATCAAAGTGAAGAAACTGGCATTTTTCCGCAGGTTTGTGAATTTTTATCAAATTTTTGTTGTTGAGCTCAAAACCTTTCATGCCCATTAAAGAACTCATTTCTGTGTGGATTTTTCTGAAAAACGTTGATTAAAGGCACAAAAGAAGTAAATTTTCAGTTACCACGGACTCTTAAGCTAAGGAAATAAGTAATCTTTGGCTGCCATTTTATCTCTGAAAACAGGTGACCCCCACCTCCTTCATTCGCAAATATCTCGACATGTATTTAAGATAAACGGATATTTTTTTCATTCAAATAAAGACAAGTGAACTAGCTTTAAGATGATAACAATAACTCGATGTGCCCAAAAATTGACGTGAGCCTGATTCCACAACGATGCCTCACATATGAACAATGAAGTTTTATTTCCTTTTTTTTCCTCAAAAATCTATATGAATAATGAAATTAAGCCTTTCTTCTTTTTTTTTTTCAAGTTCCTTCTTCAAGCTTTGTTCAATTACCAAAATGTGTGTCCTCAGTGTATGAATATTATGCCCTTAACGACGTCTGTTGGACTTACCATTAACACGAAAAACACAGCCCCTATCGCTATGACAACCACCACGTAGGAGTCCAGGAAATCCTTCAGCTCATCTTGACAACCCTGAGGAAAAGAGACGGAAAAAGGAGAAATTAATTTAGACAATGAAACACATGTGAAGCGTGCTAACAAAAAGAGTTACTTCTTTGATTTCAAGCCTTAAGGAAATAGATACATCACTCTTAGGCCCCGGTTACACGCAACGATAAATTATTATTGTATCAGATTCGTCGTATGAGAAAACTGTCCGTTTTATTGAACTGTGTTGTCTGTTCACACGTTCCAATCTATTGTCCAGTTTTCTTTCGATCGAAGAGATTCATCGTCATAAAGCCACCATGTCTCTTTGCGATGACAGTGATTTGCTTGTACTCTATATTTAGGTTTCGAGCTCTGGACCTAATGAATGAAAGGCGAACAGTGTCTCTCTATCCCAACTTTTCCCTGTACATTTTGATATAGCAGAACAGTGTCTTTAGAAAAGGGTGGCCATACTGTAGGCCTACCGTGTTGTGTGTAGAACCGGACGCTTTGACTTGACCGCAGATATGCAACACACCAAGTGACCTTGATCCACAGCTTCACCCTTGACGATCAACTGAATAATAAAATTGCTAAAATATACATAATAATGTACCAAATCAGGTTCTTCGCTAACAACTTTGCTTATTTTGAGAGGCTGATTCCGAATATGAAATCAGTTTTTACCTACGATAATTATTTAAAAAATTTTTAGCCCTGAGTTTAGTTCTGCGCTGCAGCAAACTTCAAAGTGAATCTACGTCACGGGGCGTCTCCCCCAAATGTGACCGTGATCGCACGGAAAACATCAAGCAGTGCTTGATTTCTCGACCGAGTCTCCGAACCATCGTTCAATCGTCCAAATTTTGTACAATTTTGCGGTTACACCTGACGATTTATCGTATGATCGCTGGATCGTCCAGTTTTTGTACAATTTATCGTTACGTGTAACCGGGCCTTTATAGGTGAAGTTTTAACAATGTTTAAAAGTATAAAACAATGAAAGACAGGTTATATTTAAAGAATATGGCATCAATAAAAAATCTACAAATTTGACCCTAATGTCGATTTTTGGCCAATATCTCCATTTGTGGACTGCGAGAAGAAACTCATTTTGTCAGCACTCTTCACCTATATGCTCTAACACCATCCGACTGTTGAAAAACCCGGAGTAGAAGATCGAAGAGTAGAGAAAAGGGCTAACGACAATCAGGTGAATTTGGAAGAGTCTTACTCGACAGGTATACCCCTGGGATTTTGAGAAAATGACTGAAAATTTACTAAGTTGCATTTACAAACAAAAAGACAGTTAATGACACAACTATAATATGGGATTAATAAGCAAACAAAATGGTGAGCGTAGAATTGTTTCTGTGCAAGTGTGTCTGAATGCATGTGTTTGTGTGTGTGTGTGTGTGTGTGTGTGTGTGTGTGTGTGTATGTGTGTGCAAGTGTGTCTGAACTGAATGCATGTGTTTGTGTGTGTATGTGTGAGTGTGTGTGTGTGGGTGTGTGTATGTTTGTGAGTGAGAGAGAGTGCATGTGTGTGTGTATGTGTGCGCGCGAGCACGCACGTGCACACACCTGTGTGTGGGAGCATATCCGCGTGCATGTGCATTTTTGAGAGAGAGAGAGAGAGAGAGAGAGAGAGTGAGAGAGACAGAGAGAGAGAGAGAGGGAGAGTGTGAGAGACAGAGAGGGAGAGAGAGGGAGAGAGAGGGAGAGAGAGGGAGATACACTCATACAGAGAGCGATAGAGAAACAGACAGAGTGAAAGCGAGCAGGAGGGGGAGAGAGAGAGACAGACACAGACAGAGAGAGGCAGAGGGAGACGCACACAGACACACAGACAGAGAGAAAGAGAGAAAGACAGAAACAACACAGACAGAGAGAAAGAGAGAAACAACACAGAAAGAGAGAAAGACAGAAACAACACAGACAGAGAGAAAGAGAGAAACAACACAGACAGAGAGAAAGAGAGAAACAACACAGACAGAGAGACACGAAGAAAACAGAAAAGGCTACACCGAAAAAAAAACCCAAAAAAAACAAGCGTGGCTACGGTACCCGCTGCCAGATGTCCGGACTCCTCGTCTGACTGGTGTCGGGCAGGTAGATGCGGCACAGCTGGTCCGGGTCGTTGTAGCGGAGGTAGTCCGTGCAGCACGAGGCTGGCACCAGCCCCTGAGTCTTGCGTTCGCCCTCCAAGGCCCAAGTGGACTCGAGGTAGTCGTTGGGGCTGTTGCCTCCGCAGCACTCCAGCTGGTGGGGAGAGTTACAAACATATTTGAATGTAGGCATTTCTAATAATAATAATAATAATAATAATAATAATAATAATAAATAGCATTTGTATAGTGCACATCCCCACTCAACAGCAGGCTCTATGCGCTTTACACTATATTATTACCCCAGCAGACCATAGAACACTCCGAAACATTCTCAGCTTCCCGGGAAGCATACAGTGCAAGCAGCTGATTAAGCGCTCAAACACTAACAAACGGACAAGATCTTTCACTATCTATAGCTGGGTACCCATTCCCACCTGGGTGAAGTGAGGAAAATTTGTGTAAAGTGCCTTCCCCAAGGACACAACGTCGGGCCCCTGACGGGATACGAACCCACGACCTTACGGTTGCGAGTCCGAGAGCCTAACCACTAGGCCACCGACGCCACACAATTTAGATCATTTAAGAGGCGGACTTATATGTGAGGCAGCGTGGTGAAATCAGGCCATCGGCAAAATAATCAAAGTGAAGAAACTGGCATTTTTCCAGCGGGTTTTTGAATTTTCATCGACTTTTTGTTTATCGGCTCAACACCTTTCATATCCATTAAAGAGCACATTTCTGTCTGGGTTTTAGCGAAAAACATTGATTAACGTCACAGAAAAATGTCAATTTTCCGTTTCCAATGACTCTCAGGATATGGAAGGCACCAAACTTTGACGGACATTTTCTCGCTAATTTTGCCTCTGAGACCAGGCTACCCTAACCTCCTTCAATCGCAAATATTTCGACTTCTATTCAACATGGATATTTTTTCACCAAAAGGAAGGCAAATGAACAGACTCTAAAATGATACCAATAACCCCTTATGCCCAAAAATAGACGAGCGCCTGATTACATATTTCAACGTAGGTATTTTTACTTCCCCATCCACACAATTTAGGTCATTTAAGAGGCGGGCTTATATGTCAGGCAGCGTGGTGAAATCAGGCGCTCGGCAAAATGATCAAAGTGAAGAAACTGAGAGAGGGTGCTGTTGCCTCTGCAGCCCTCCGGCTGGTGGGAACATTTACAAACATTTCAATGTAAGTATTTTTACTTCCCCATCCACACAATTTAGATCACTTAACCCTATCAGTACACCCTGGGGTCATTTTGTACCCCCGGGTCGTATTCTTCACATTTTAGAATACTTAACTTCTAGTACCAAGATCTCTTTGAAACTTTCAGTATTTCTTAAAAAATCATTTTGACAGACTGCTATGCAAAGCGTGTGGATCGGATTAACGAGTAAATTTCCTCTTTGGAAAGTGGTTGCACATGGGTTCCCCACGTCGTATGGATACGATAGTAAAACAAGACCTATGGATAGGGTTAAGAGACGCCCTCATATGTTGCCTCCGCAGCACTCCAGCTGGGGGGAAAACTTACAAATATTTCGATATAGGTATTGTTACTCCCCTGTCCACACAATTTAGATCCCTCAACCTTAACTCTTTGCGGTCACCTGGCGCAATAAAAAAATTATCCGTTCGGGTCATCTGGCACAATTCAGCCACAAAGGAAATAAGAAATAAAATCAATTAAAAACTAGGAAGGAAATAACAAAAAAATCAATAGAAAAATAGGAAGGAAATAAGAAATAATATCAATTAAAAACTGGAAAGGAAATAAGGAAACAATCAATAAAAAAACTAAAAAGGAAATAAGGAAACAATCACTTAAAAACTAGGAAAGAAATAACAAAAGAATCGATTAAAAATTAAGAAGGAAATAAAGAAACAATTTATTAAAAACTAGAAAGGAAATAAGGAAACAATCAATCAAAAACAAGGAAGGAAATAACAAAACAACTGATTAAAAACTAGGAAGGAAATAAGGAAACCATCAATTAAAAACTAGAGAAGGAAATAAGGAGACAATCGATCCCCCAGCCCTATTACCGTACCTCGGACTGCATGATGTCGATGGCGCGCCGCACGCGACTGGTTCTGTCGTCCACGTACTTGGCCTGGATGATGTTCTTGACCAGGTTGTCACGGACCACCGTCTCCTCCAGCTGGACACACGGAGAGAGAGAAAGTGGGAGAGAGTTAGACGTGGACACAGGGAGGGAGAGGGGGGAGAAAGAGAGAGGAAGGGAGAGAGAGAGAGAGAGAGAGAGAGAGAGAGAGAGAGAGAGAGAGAGAGAGAGAGAGAGAGAGAGAGAGAGAGAGAAAATGCTAAATTACAGATAAAAACAATCCTCTAAGATGTATAGTCAAATCCTAGTACATTACAGATAAAATCAATCTGCTTCAAATACATATAAAATGTTAAATTACAGATAAATACAACCTGATTCAGATACAGACACAAATTCTAAATTACATATTAAAACAACATGCTTAAGACATAGATCCTACTCTCTTCAATTACAGGCAATCGCTGTCAACCAACAGTGAAGTATGTCAAAATTTTGAAAAAGTGAAAATCAAGTGTGTGGTTGTACAGTTTCATGAGGCTTGTCGAACGGTCCTAGTCTCATTCCTCTTCTTAAAATAGTAACGTGGGTCCTAGTCTCATTCCTCTTCTTAAAATGGTAACGTGGGTCCTAGTCTCATTCCTCTTCTCAAAATAATAACGTGTTTAGACGAATTAAACATTCCGTATAACAATATATAGTCTTGAGCGACATAAAACAGTTCTGGGCTTTTTCCAGAAGACCTAGTACTTTGAAACTCTACAACGTTGAATGACGGACGATGCGATAAAAAACCCAATCTGCTCCAGATACTGGACAATATGGCGGACAAAAACGGGGGAGGGGGGGGGATGTACTCACCTCTTCTCTGTAGATGATACCATAGACCACAGCTGAGACCGTCAGCACGATGGCTATACAGATGGCCGCAAGGTACTGTAGAGATACACACACACACACACAAACACACAGTGGTGAGGGAATGAAAGTTTCACTTAGTTGTTTTAGTTTTAGTTTTAGTAGAGGTTTTACGGCGCTCGCAACTGCATAAGGTCATATATATGAGCGCCAGAAGATTAGACGTGTTACAAGAGAGTAACAAACATAAAAAAGAAGAAGGGGATATAAGGACGATAGATGTTTGATAGGAAAGAAGAAGCAAACCACACAAGAGCACCCGCCAACCGCCCACTCACTTAGTTGTAGTAAGAGTTTTACATCAGCATTTTCAACACAAATATGGCATATATGCGAGGCATCATGGTGTAATCAGGATCTCGTCAATTTTTGGGCATCAAGAGTTATTGGTATCACCTTAATAGAACTCATTTCTGTGTGGATTTTTCTGTAAAACGATGATTAAAAGCATAAAAAATGTAAATTTTCAGTAACCACGAACTCTTAAGCTAAGGAAATAACTTATCTTTGGCCGCCATTTTCTCACTAATTTTACCTCTGAAAACAGGTAACACCCACCTCCTTCATTTGCAAATATCTCGACTTGTATTCAAGATAAATGGATATTTATGGGCATGAAAGGTGTTGAGCCAAAAAACAAAAAGTTGATGAAAATTCACAAACCTGCGGAAAAATGCAAGTTTCTTCACTTTGATTATTTTGACGAGAGCCTGATTCCAGCACGCTGCCTCATATATTATAAGTACTGTGGAGACACGCACATACACTCACACGCTAAGGGAAAGTACTGTCTGAGTTTGTTTTAGCTCTCTCTGTCTTTTTCTCTCTCTCTCTATCTTTCCCTCTCTCTCTCTCTCTCTATCTTTCTCTCTCTGTCTTTTTCTCTCTCTCTCTATCTTTCCATCTCTCTCTCTATCTTTCTCTCTCTGTCTTTCTCTCTCTCTATCTTTCCCTCTCTCTCTGTCTTTATCTCTCTGTGTCTCTCTTTCTATCTTTCTCTCTCTGTCTCTTTCTATCTTCCTCTCTCTATCTCTTATCTCTCTTTCTCTCCCTTTCTCTAAAAGTGTGGTTTAAAGAGACAACCAAAGATCTTGGACAGTAAGAGTGCACTACTCACAATAACGATGAGCCATTTCTTCCGTAGACACCCCCCGACCAGTCCCAGGATGGAGAAGACCACGATGACCGCCCCCGAGGCCAGCGCGATGTAGATGAGCACCAGGTAGCGCTCCAGGCTCGAGTCGATCTCCAGGTACTCGTTGGTCCAGAAGTCCAGCCGTAGCCATAGCAACACGCCAAAGATGGCCGCTCCCACCAACTGAGGATCAGAGAGTTTGGTTTTTTAAAGTTTTAGTAAGAGTTTTACGGCACTTGCAACACAGTAAAGTTGTTCCCGCATCCGATCCGGACATTGGGGATTGCCTTGTTAGTGAGACAACTTCCTGGGCCTTCGGCATATTGTGGTAGGGCGGCCAGTTCCTTTCCACGCCGCCTTTACTTCCCCAACTCGAAGTCAGGTACCCATTACTGCTGGGTGGGCAGGAGGGGGTGAAAAAAATCTGAGTCCAAACCGAGGCTTGAACCCGGACTTTCCGCTTCGGAGAAGAGCGCACTAACCGCTCCGCCACCGCACCCTCTGTACACAATAAGGCCATATAAATATACAATATATAATACATGAATACATGTATA